TGTGTGTGTGTGTGTGTGTGTAGCGCAGATCAATCCCCACTGTCTGTCCTGCGCAGGAAATCGAAGGAAACTTAAGCTGCGTTGATTGCTGTGAAACTGTTTGGCTGGCTGCTCTCCACGTTTTAATAGAGACACTCTTCTGCTCCCTCTCTCTTTCTTTCTTTCTTTCTTTCCTCCATCTCTCCTCCATCCTCACTTTCTGCTCTGTCTCTTATTTGACTGAGTCCGACAGTGGGCTGAAGGGAATCAAAGGGTAACTCACGATACGATGATTTATACATTGCAAGACAATCATATAAGAATGAATCATGCAGAAGAATACCCTGTATATGGATAACAAAATAAATATTGACATTTGGCGCCAGCATTTAGATAATTGCATCTCATGAGCCACGACGCTGATATATTGAAGTATAAATATTTTGTCCCACTCGTTAACAACGGGATCTATTACTCAATCTGACTGCGACAAAAGGTCAGAGCTCGTGTCGACCGAGAACCTCGACTCCATGTTTTGATGGAGGCGCTGCAGTCTGAGCTGCATCTTCTATTGTTCTCTATTGTTTGAAAGTGTGTGTGTGTGTGTGTGTGTGTGTGTGAGTGTGTGTGTGAGTGTGTGTGTGTGTGAGTGTGTGTGTGTGTGTGTGTGAGTGTGTGTGAGTGAGTGAGTGAGTGAAAGCCAGTTTAGATCACAAGAGTTAGATGACATTCTAGACTTTGTCTTTTCTCTTTATCTAATTCTTTTGCCTTCTGCTCTGGATATGAGAGGGCCTCATTGTAGAGGATAATAAGCACTGAGTGGAGAGGCTCTCAACGCCTTCCACACACACACAGACACACACACACACACACACACACACACACACACACACACACACAACAAAGGAACATTAGCAAAAATAGAATGAGAGGATATGCAGATGGTGCTCATTAAGGTCTGCTGCCTGTCAATGAGACTTTACACCGGCTAAAAGACGGCAAAAAATAGCATTAGCCCACCGTGTTAACACCTTCACCCACACACACACACACACACTCCTCACAGATGAGGCGTTAACACAGATCCGTTAACACCTCCTTCCCCTGGTCACATGGGGAAAATGATGCAATATGCTCAAATAATATCCAAACATTCCAACTCTCGCAAAAAGTATGACATAATCAAACGTATGGTTACAGGCTGACTTATGCTCGTGTGTGTCAGCAGTGCAGCTCTTTGCACTTCCTCCACTTCAAGCTCACAGTTTGACAGACGCTCCGCAACCCAGAGCTTTTCACAGACTCGTCACCTCCAATCTGCTCCACTTGAACTTTTGTCACCTCAGGGACTCACAAGTCACACATATCATCATGTACCTTCCAAAGCACCTATAGACGAGCCACACGAAGACGTCTATCCATGAGCCAGCGCTGCTCCGAGAGGCCGCGGATTAAAGGCAGTTACGTAAGAAAAACGCAGTGTGTGCACTTCACCAAAAAACAAATACAGTAGCAATTATGTGTTCCACGGTTTGCATGTGTGCAGCGTTCGAGCGTGTTACTTACCTTCGCAGGAGAGGCCGTGAGACGTGACCCCAGACAAGCTGTCTTTGCAGACGTTGCAAAAGGTGGGCCGTGCGTGGGAGCAGGCGTACCAGTTGTGCATCCCTGAGAAATGTTCCACATTAAACTGTGCTGTCTGGCAAAGAAGAGGTTAAAACAGGTTGGCAGGATGGGGATGACAGTCACAGGAAGGCACAATATCAAAATAAAAACAATGCATATTACTGGTACTGGTTGTTTTCATAACGACTACAACTGTACGATATGAGAAATCAAAAGAATTTGAATAAATGCATTAAATTTCTACATGTTTTCTGCAGAAGACACAAATCAGCACCAACTTCTTTCAACATCTCCATCATCTATATTTTCACCTGGTCAGTTAATTAGCAGGATTATACAAAAACTACTCAACTGTCCTCCAAGATAGAACCTCTTAAATCCTGGAGCACCTCCAGGAACTTTGTTCACTTTTTTTTTTTAACATTGGAGGAATCAAGAGAGCATTTTGTTGATTTCTCAGACTCACGTAATTTATGGATCTCGATGATAAAAGTCGGGCATGTTTACAGGATTGATATTTATTCATGTTGGTGCAGATCTAAATAAAAATCCAGATCAAGTGAATTTAAATGTGGTTTCCTCAGGGGACTGCGGTGGTATGAACTCTACTCCTAGTTCCACGTACATTAACTTTCCCATATACTGATGATTCCCTGCACTGTCCCTCGAGGTGTTTCTGCTCTATCATGAGGACACCACCTGCAAACTGCCTGAAACAAGAGAAGAAGCCAGCCGCATCCTCCTGGACTCTTCCACGTTAGTGCACGTTGATGTGAGTGTTGGACTGTATACGCGTGGGGGCGTTGCAGTAGCTGGTGCAGCCCTGCTTCAGTTTCATAAGTAGAATCGTAACAGGTACTTTTCAAACTGGGACACTCAGATTCTCAGGTTCACTGCCACATTACACAAGACGATAATTAAATGCTGTTGTGTTGACATCTTGGCAGAGGTGTGTGTGTGTGCATTGGTGTGCGTTCGTGCGTGCACACGTGTGCACCCCGTGGTATGTGAGCTCTGGGGGTGCTGCTGCATTGCAGTGCAGTAAAGGGGGCGAGGGGATGGGGTCTTATATAAGACTTCCCTCCCAAATAAAAGCCATTAAAATGCAGCAGTGCTTTCTTCCTGCGCTCCCCCTTCTCCCCGAGCGCTCGCACACAACCCACTGTCAACACACGTCCCCGGTTTCCATCGACACCCTCTCTCACTGACGGAGAAACATCTTCAACAGTTACAGGCAGATTTTATGAAAAAGAAAAATTCAGATAAGCTTGTTTTTGGGATTTTTCTGTCTTCGACAACGAAAAGCATCGGCCGCATGTTTGTGTGTTTTAAAGCAAAAGAATCAGGGTGATGCAGAATCACAAATGCGTTTTGTGCCGATCAGTGTGTGTCTGTTCTATGTTTTGTGATGTGCGCACAGTCTGTCTTCTTTACACAGTTTCTCACAGTTTCACAGTGTGTCTTGTGTGCGTTTGCTGGTTTTGTGGTTCGGAATATCAACAGGAATTTGTTGCTTCTGCCTGAGCAACTTGTGAGGTCCCCAGTTTTCTGTATCATGCCTCACATCATATTGTACTTTCCACACCCATCTGTGCTCGTCACCATCCAACCAACACTTGGATGTGATAGAATCCAAAAACACCAACAGGGTATGTTTGATTCTCTCATGCTCAGCAGGACTGTTTGGTTAAAACTGAAATCTAAAAACTGCTCCTCAACACACGGCATCTCTCTCCTCCTCCTCTTCTTCTCCATCTCTTCGCTCACACACACACACACACACACACACACTAACAAACTCACCGGGATCTGTCTATGTGCTGATTTGGAAAAAAACGGGGGCTCTTACCTCGTAATGCTCTCTGGACTGGACGGACTTCAGCGAACTGATCCAGTCCTCCATCTCTTTCCTGTTCTCGGCGCAGAGGATGAGCCGACGGAACGGAGTGATCACCTGGAGGGAGAGCGGGGGATACGGGTGAGAATACTGAGACTGTGGCGAGAAAAGAGAAGGAGATAAATGTTTCCAGGGCTTTTCCTCCTCAGCCTGCGTTGCCACTGAGAAGAGAGAGAGAGCGACCGTCTCTGTCTTTAAGGCAGGGAGAGGATGAGACGCCCCCTCCCTCCTTCTCTCTCTCTCTCTCTCCCT